AACCAGCTTATCACACTAGGCAGTTGTGTTTTCCAATGTCAGTCATGTATTTTTTGAGAGTGGTCATGTGTGAATCTGTAGAAGAATGGAGTTTCCTTGTCCACCACAGCATTGTGGTGGTGGCTGGGACTTTCCAATTATGTCCTTTATTGTTTGTTTGCATGATTTATAAATCCAGGAAAAAAAATATTTGTCATCTAATTCAGAACAAAGCTCTGTGGTTTCTCAAGAAAGTGACCTTTGACCTGAAAACTTTCTGACAAGGAAGACAGTAGTCCTCATGGTGGGCTCTGAAGACCAGTGGAGACAAGCACATAGCAGCTCCTTTGACAGACACTTTGAGAACACAGCAACAATCCTATTGTATTGTATTATATGGTAGAAAACACAGAAAATTAAATGTATGTATCATGTGCCCTAAGGGATGATATAAATACAGATTCAGTGTCCCCCCCCCACCAGTATATTATGTGTTGGAAATGTAATCCCCAAATTCATATGTTAGAGGTATTTAGAGAGATTGTTGGAAGATAAATTAGGGTTCAAGGCACTCATGCCCCATGAAGATCGGTGGGTTTATGAAAAGAGGAAGACAGGCCAGAGCTGGTATGCTGACCCTAGATACAGAATGAGGCCCTCACCTGATGCTGAACAGGTACCTACAGCATACTCAAGCTTCCCAGAGTCTGACTGTGAGTTAAATCAACCTCTATTCTTATAAAGTGCCTAGGCCATGGTACTTAGGTGCAACGAAAGCAAATGGACTAACACAGAGCAAGTACCATGCATTTTTATTAGGCTGCAGTATTGGGGTTTTGAAGTCAGGGTTTCACATTGCTATGCCTCTAGAGTGTGTGTGTGTGTGTGTGTGTGTGTGTGTGCTGGTAGTGGAGCTTGAAATCTAGGCCTGACTACTATCCCATAGTTTTCTTTTTTTCTCACTCAAAAAAAAAAAAAACAAACCACCAAAACTTTGCCTTTTCTGTCTGGGTTGTCTTTGAACCAATATTCTCAGATTTCAGCCTTCTCAATAGCTAGGATTATCAGGCTGAGCCACTGGTGCCTGACTGTATCATTCATTTTTTAAAGGAGGCTTTTGCTCTGGATTAAGAAATGCTTAGAAACACATCTGTGCAGACTCGAAAATCTACATACATACACTAAGATATCAGCTCTGAGTTCAGTGCTGAGGGAAACAAGAAAGCATAAAATACATGGTCTCTGCCCTCAGAAATAGAGGTTCTAGCTGAAGAAACAGTTAAAATGAACACTCTTGCTGAGCAGGTCTGAGATGTCCTGGGAAGTCTCCCTGGAGATACCTGGGACCTTGCTATTTGTCGCCCCCTTCTGGCCAATTTCCAGTCAGCCCTCCTTTTAAATAGACGTACTTGTAGATCCAACCCCAACGAGGATCAGAACGATTTGGGGATAAAAATGGCATCATTTCTTTGCAACAATGAGATGTACAAGTCGTTACATCGAAAAATGAACTTTACAACTTTGGTGGGGGGAGGATTGGGTGGGGGGAGGTGGGGGGAGTATGAGAAGGGATGGGAAGGGGAAACAAAGAGGAGGCAACAATGCTTGATAAGAAATGCACTCGTTATCTTACCCATGTAATTGTAACTCCTCTGTATGGTATTCTCACAATAAAAAAATGGCATCATTTCTGAAAATATACAGATTTTTCTTATTACCTAACAATACAGTGCACAAAATATTTATTTAACATTTACAGCAGGTAAAGACAGTTTAAATAAGCTAAAAATGGTTAAAATTATACCAGAGTTATATATGGCTATATATAAACATGGTGCCCTTTTATAAGGGCCTTGAGCATTCAAGATCTGGCATCCTGGAACCGATTATCACAAGGACACCCAGGGACTGCAGTAACACAGATGAATTGCTCCTACAGGCAAATGACTTCTCAGCTAGTCAGATGCTTTCTGCAAAGGTCCTGAAAGATGAAAGGCTGGATAGAAGGGTGGGCTTCCAGTGTGACAGATACTTAGAAAGTCTTTTGCTGAGAACACTGACTTCATTCTTGTGTTCATGATTTAGCTAAACACAAGAGAAAAGCTTGGAATCTGTGTTTATTTTGTACCTGTCTTTGTTCTGAGTCATTCTCTCTGCAGCTAGCTTGGAATCCAGGAAGGGGGGAGCTGATCGACAGATACCATCTTTCCATTGATGGATAGATGGAACTGGACAGACCACCCACTAGGCAACAATGACTAACTTATCACAACCAGATTGTGCCCCTCAAGTGGTGACAACTGTAACAATTTCTCCAAAATCCCTTTTTAATAATCAATTAGGCCATTCTTAGACCTGGACTGATAATTATGTAAAATTATCAATAACAATTACCATATTAAACTCTTCTCTATTTAAACCTAAAGCTCCTGTCTATATACCTTGAAGATGGGCTGCCTCTTCCACATAATAAACCAACCTCCTTTCTGAACCCGTCACTATTTATTCATCTCCATTTGTTGAATTGAGGCAAGTGGCCAGACCTGTCATATGGAAGCCCTGGAGATGAGCGTAGGGCCTAAAACTCTAAAGGACATCGAAAGGCAGTGTAGCAGGCAATGACCTATTTTCAGGTGATACACATCACAGGGCTGGACAAAGGAAAGGTGCAGTCAGCCAATGTCTATGATGCTTCAGTGGGCACCATTTTCTCTCTCACGGGAAGGCTTCATTTCCTTGAAGTTTCAAATTATCTGTAGACAAGTCCCAGCACTTAAGACCTATTTTGAGCCACACATAAACATAACAGGATTCTGGTAGTTTATGAATAAAAAAACAGAGGACACAGCCTGTGAATATATTAATAGCTAACAGTTTAAACAGTGGTACCTTGAAGATAAATAAACAGAGATTCAGATTTGAGCTCATTTTATGCCCATGTTCACCACAGACCATTTGTCTTCCTTGTGTAACAAAGGCAGTGTTCCATCATATCCCTTTGCAAAGAAGGACCATGGCTGTTTAGTAGCAACAAGAACTGGGAAGCTACTGAGTTCTGACTTCCAGAATAGGCAAAGATGAGCATGAAGGTGTGAATGATAAATGCAGCTTGGGAACTGAATTCCTTAGTGACAAAGCATAAGAAGGCTTTCTTGGCCAGGTTTCTGGTGCAAGTTGAGTAGCTTTTCTCTAAAACACTTAGAACCAGACATGTTTCAGGCATCAGGTTTCTTCATACTTTAGTGTATTTGAACTGACATTCCTGATTTAGCATCTCTAATCCAAAGATCACAAAATGTCAGCTTTTGGAACACTTGGGAGGCTTTTGGATCTCAGATGCCCCACTGATTTGCACTGCTTGAAACCCATCACTGCTCAGAATGAAAAGTGACTCTAATGCTTGGGATCGCCACTTCCTTCTCTTTAATGAAACTTAGGAAGCAAATAAGAATGCTGTAGTTTGTACTTCAAACTGCACTGTCTTTAGACACGTCTGTGCTAAGGACTTTACAGGACAGCCTACCTTCCAAAAAACAGCCAGTGAATTCTGGGAAGAATAGGGTAGATGCTTGTTGTCTCTTGATGCATGATTTGCCCCTAAAATTTTGAATACTTTCTGCATTTTAGATAGCAGGAAACCTAAAGTAAAAAAAAATCCAACCAAACTGGTCCTAAACTAATTTCCTTGTTTGAAAGAAGACTCTTTTGCTGGGTGCCTATAGCTTGTGCCTATAATTCTAGCTACTCAGGAGACGTGAGATCTGAGGACCATGGTTCCAAGGAAGTCCAAGGCAGAAAAGCCAGTGAGACTCTTATCTTCAATTAACTACCACAAAAGGTGGAAGTGGGCTTGTGGCACAAGTGGCAGTGTTGCAGCCTTGAGTAAAAGATAACAGGGTAGTAATCTAGGTTCTGAGCTCAAGTACCAATATCAGCACAAAAAGACACATCTACGCAATCTGATTTTTTTTTGCCAAATTAATACATGGTAGTTCATCCCAAACAGCTCTACAAGTTGACTAACCCTTTATGTGGCCAATTTCAGCTTCCTACCTGATTACTGCCTATGTTCTTGTCTTCATCTTAAAGTAAGATGATGTTTTATAGTTTGTGTTGAAGACAAGTCAGTACAGTCAGCTCCACAACACAATAAATGATGTTAATGGGAATACAATCCGAGCCAGTTAGGAATTGAGCAATCACATTTTAATCAATAAATACAAACATTTGTTAACCAGTTATTAGGGAGAGAGAAAACAGAAATGTCTGAAGAATTCAAAGGATAACACCGCTTTGAAAGTGGAAGTCCCCAAATCTTTGCTAAAAACTTCTTCACTTAGAAAAATTAGAGGTAACAAAAATTTTACTTGAAATAAGCTTTGAAATAATCTCAACAGTTTCCAGTATATCTGAAAGTTCAAACAAATTATTTTCCACATAAAACGGGAGTAGGTTATTTGCACATATGTAGAGCATCTGACAACCCAGGGGAATAAAGCTTTGAAAAGATGAACTGTTGAACACCAGGAAATAAGATCTCTGATAGTCACATGATGGGTGAGGCTCATATTTGTTTCTTGTTCCTGTCTCACTTCCCTTGCTTTACTGCATATCACAGGAAATCACAATTCCCTGAGGCCACACCCGCTGATTTTCAGGTATGGTTAGAATGGGAAGGTGCTGGTGGAAAGGACTGGAAAGGCCAGGAAATTTTTAAATGTTTGACTTAGCTCTGGCCTTGTTTCCGTCTCAGGCAGTGGCTTTGTCCTTGCCATAGCTTCATTTCCCCAAATCATTTGGTGGTCCTAGTGCCCAGGAAGCTGTCTCCCACAGTTTATAGACTCAGAAAACCACACTTTCTCTCACTATTCTGAGTCCCAGCTGTAGTAAACAGCCTTCTACTATTCAGCTGGTCTTATCATCTGTGTAAGTAAATGTCCTGTATTAAATGCTTTCTATTGAAACACCTAGAATGCTTTCCATTTTTCTGGAATAGATCTTGCAGGACATATATTACTTTCCACAATATAGGCCAATGAATATCCCTTTAGCTGTTCTGTGATTTTTTTTTCTTAAAAATACCCAAACAAACTGAGATTTTCTTTGCCAGGGATAGGACCCTAACTCTCCACAGATTTCCCCACCAGTGACAGGAGACACAGCCCACAGTCTTCCCCTAGAGTCATCTTTACAGCATGCCAACTAGGTGTGATGACAAGGAGAAAGAAATACCAACAGGAAATTAATCTTAAGAGCAAATTACAAAGTCAACAAATGAGCAACAGAGTGAAAACAAAGAAAGTCTGAAAACTCCAAGGGTTCTGGAAATCCCTAGAGTTTCTTCCCTGCTGAATCAATAAAATTTCCTGAAAGTAAAATCTCGTAACATTTCTGAATCTTTCAAACACATCAAAATAATAAACATTAATAATAATCTGACTTGTCAACAACCGATCTGTAGCTCCTTGGATAGAAGGCGGGTCACTGGCAGAAGTAGAGTTCTTTGGTGAGCATGGTGACCACACAAGGAATCTGCTTCTTCTCATCAAAGCGGGGGTCATCAGACCGGGACTCAAAGTGCCTGGCCACCCTGTTGTTCACCCTGGTGAGGATCTGCATGATCTCCAGGTCTTTGCCATGCTCATCCAGGACGGAACAAAGGGCCTGCACAAACCATGAACCTCTTCCCGGGCTCCTCCATGAGTAATAGCCTTTGACAGGAGAGAAAGATTTCGTCAACTAATTGAGGACATATGGCTCACCAATGAGAATGTGTACACACACATACTACTTCACGCGCGCTTTCTCTCTCTCTCTCTCAACTATCAAGCACTCCAGAAATGTTTCGTCTCCTTTTATTTTGGTGCCAGTACTGGGGCTTGAACTCAGAACCTCAGAATCATCCCTTGTTCAAGGATGGTGATTTACCACTTGAGCCACAGTTTTTTGCTTCCAGCTTTTTGCTGTTAACTGGAGACAGAGTCTCATGGACTCTCCTGCCTAGGCCTTGCTTCTCCTCGGATCTCAGCCTCTTGACTAAGCCAATCAGGTGTGAGCTACCATTTCTTCCTTAATTACTACTAAAGGTAATAACAAATGAGATTTTAAAAAAGTAAATGCATCCTTGTGGTATGTAGAATAATGGCCCTCAAAGATAAATAGCATGCCTAACTCTAGAACCCGTGGCTGTTTGCTTATGTGGCAAAGAACTCTACAGATGGCATGAGGGGTATGGAATTGACACCCGATGATCCCAGACTACTAGAGTGGGCCCAGACTACTTATGAGCATCTTTAGCAGCTGTGAAGAGAGAGATAAGGGGGGGTTGGGGAGGAGATGGGAAGGGAGAAGAGAGGGGAGGATAGAGAGGATAGGACAGGTTGGTGAGATGTGAAGTTTCTGGTTTTAAACGAAGGAAAGGGTCACAAGCCAAGGAATGTGGGGCATTCTGACATGCTAGAAAAGGATGAACAGGAACAGATTTCCTCCAGAACTTCCAGAAAGGATATCGTCCAATCAGTTCAGTCTGGCATTCTGACCTCCAGAACGTCAGTACGTGTGATACATTTACATGATTTAAAAGCCACTGTGTAGAAAAAGTATCCCTTGTTCTAAAGGCTTGGGAGCAAAAGAGTTTCACATTTTGGAATATTTGCATAGATTTTCCTGAATCAGAAAATGTAGAGTTGGGCACTTGTGGCCCATACCTAGTACTCATGAAACTGAAATCATGATCACAGTTCAAAGCCTGACTGGGAAGGAAAGTCTGTGACACTCTTATCTCTGATTAACTACCAAAAAGGTGAAATGGAGCCCTGGCTCAAGTGTTAGAGCACCAAGCCCAATACTGGGATCAAAACCAAAACAAAACCAAAAGGCAATCTGAAATGTTCCAAAACTGAAACTTGACTATGATGTTGGGTCTCAAGAAGCTTCATACTTGGGTTAGGGGTAATAAACCATAAATCATAACTTCAGCAACAGGAACTCATATGGTTCTCAAAACATGCACTTAGATCATGGAACAGACTGGTAAGGTAGCAGACAGTAAGTTGGATACCTGGAACCGTGGAGTAGGCGAAGAGGAAGTCAGCTTCAACTGGGATCTTATAGCGGGGATTAGCATCCGCATCCGTGTCATTGATAGGTCCTGAGTCAGCCTGGATCCCATCATCGAGCTCTGTTCCTCGGCAAGCCTAAATGCCAAAGCAGAGATCACTTCATGGGGCTGGGAGCAGAGAAGCATGTGCTGTTCACTGCTGTGTCCCAGGGTCAGGAACTGTGCCTAGTAAATGCCAGCACCTCAGTGATCATCTGATGGGGGGTAAATGACTGCACTGTGAGCAAAGCAAAACATTGCAAGAGCTTCCTAACTTGTGATCCGATGCATCCACACAGCCAACCTTTTCCAGGCAAAACAAACAAAAACCCACAGCAAATCTGCATCTCCCATGGCATGGCATATACAGTCGCAAAGATAATGCAAAGCCCCATCTTTCTGTGTTCCTGTCCTATGCTCATTCCTACTGGCTTTGAAAAGTGATTACCTGAATGAAGAAGAGTTTGGGTTTCTCTAAAAGGGTTTTGCACCGATCTCCCCTAAAATGGGCTGTTAAGTCCTTTATTGGTGTCACACCATCTTTTCCATAAATTAAATTTTCTTCTCCATGGCTCAATAAGATGCAGGCAAAGCAGGCTGAATTGCTGTGGTCCTCCTCAGAAGCTGCAAGCAAGCAACGTAAATACTGAAAAGTTAAAACTCATGTCCTACAGCATGGAAGCTGTGGCACTTCAGCGAGATGTCCATGACCACTCAAGAGGGACCAGGGAGGGCCCAAGGAGGGGCTGGGGTGGAGAAAAGGCTCCTGCCAAAGGCGAGGGGCTTGGATTGGACCACTCCTCTGAAGAAAGGTTAGAGAGAATTCTGAAGCTCTTTCTCAGTCAGCACCCAAGCTACAGTGGCCTCATCAATACCAAAGGCCCAGGTGTTCAAGCAACTTGTGGACGACAGCTTACTGGGTAGCAGAAGGGCAGAACTCAGCGTTTGGCTAGTTGATAATGGTTTGTTTGTAAAGCAGAGGTGATAATCCTGAATAAGAAGCATTTGTAAAATAGGTCACATACTCAGTGCAATGCAAGTATTTGTTGAGAAAAACATTATACCAAGAGGAATAAAGCAGCTGCCATAGGACAACTATTATAGGAGTCTATGTTGGTAACATAACCAAGAGAGGTCAAGTTCACAGAGAGAAAGCAGAATGGTGATTGCTAGTGGCTGGGAAAGAGGAGACAGGAGGAAAGAGAAAGAAGGTAGGTGTTTAACAGGTGTAATATTTCAGTGGCGGGAGAAGGAAAGCATTCTGGAGATGCACAATAATTTGAATGTGCTTAATGACACTGAACTATACAGTTAAAATATCAGAATCATAATTTTTACATCATGTATCATTTAGTAGAATAAAAAAACAACAACAAAACTAAAGTCAGGCTCAGTGGATCATACCTGCAATTCATACTCAGGAAGCTTGGAAACTTGGGAGGAAGGCAATTCAAGGCCAGCCCAGAGAAGAAAGTTCATGAGATAACCCCCTGCCTTATCTTAACCAATAAAAGCTAGGTGTAGTGGTGTGCGCTTGTCATCTAGCTATGAGGAAATCTTAAACACGAGGATCACAGTCCAGGTAAAGTGAGCGATCCTAATTTAAAAAAAAAAAAAAGCAAAATGGGCTGGACGAATGACTCAGGCAAGTAGTGCCTGCCTAGCAAGAGCAAGGCCCTGAGTTCAAAGCCTAGCTCTTGTAGAATTTCTTTTTAAAAGACAACAAAAATGTTGGTTCAGACCCATGACCACCAAGAACAAAAATGTTGGACTGGCTATCAATGTAGAGTACTAAGAAGAGGTATCTGAGACCTCAGGAGCAGGTGACCTAGCTCCAACTTATCGAAGGGATACAAACTAACCAACTAGCTAGGTAACTAACTCGCTAACAGATATGGGGTTTTCTTGTTGATGACCATTGAAGGGACAAGAATATAATTTAGAAGGCCCTGAATTTAAGTCCTAGCACTCAGGGCAGGCACTTTACATGGATTATATTCTTCAGTCCCTACAAGAGTCCTTTGAGGTAGGTCTTACTTTGATATCACTGATAAAAAGTATAGCTTTGGGGTAGTATCATAAATTTGCCCAGGCAGCTCAAGCTTGAGCCATAACCCCATCATCCTTCAAGCCCTGTTCCCATGGCTCCCACCACAGGCATGGTCTCCACTCTTCTCATCAATAAGACACCTGTGCTTGGAGCTCACACTGATTTGTTAGTTTTGAAGGACAAAAAAACGATGGTGAGGAAAGTTGGAATTCTTAGCTGAATTCCTAGTTGGGAAAGGGAGAGATTTTCCTCACAGGAATCCATTACACACACAGTCAACAGAAATAACTGCTTTGCTGATTCCATAGGACAATAATCAAGAATTCCCTATTGATAACAAGCTTTGGGCATGCGTAGAATAATGCTTTGCTGATTCCACAGACAAGAATCAAGATTTCCCTGTTGATAACAAGCTTTGGGTAGAATAATTCGCCATCCACAAGAATACAAACCACAGACAACTGGTACACTCCCTTATGCGTGCAGAGGCCAATATACCTCCCTAAGCATGTGCACGGATTTTCTCACGGCTATTCCTCCCCAAACTCTGAGAAATGGGAGCAGGGTGGGGGGAGAGGCACACTGGAATCATTTCAACAGAACAAAGTGATCGGGACGATAAGATAGGTAGCTTTGTATGGGTCACCTACAGGTGAGGACCAGAATTTGACCCACCTCTGAAAGCACCAGTTTCTATCTAGTCTGCTCTATCGAGTGACCTAGTAGGATATAACACATCAGCATGTAAGATTCATGTTCAAAGGAATTAGCAAAAGATGTCTAATTCTGAGAGAGGGGGAAGGGTCAGGGTTTTTTCATGTTGTATCTAAAAACAAACAAACAAAAAACAAACCTACAGTAAACCATCTACTGCCTGGGGTCCCCTTTAGAATGAACTGATCAGATTTTACTTGCAAATGTTTGCCCCAAATGTCACAGCAGCCCAAGTGACACTACTAGATGGTGTGGTAAGTAGGTCTAAGAGGGAGCACCAGAGCTTGAGGTCTGGTTCTGCTCCTAATTTGCTCTTCAATCATTCCTTATCTAAAGCTCTTCCTGCACATTTAAAAAGTGGGCATGCATCCTAGAAGTGGGGGTGGGGAACAAATGTAGACATAATACTCACTAAACATTGGTGAAAGGGGGGCATTCTGGTAACTTAAGGGGATGGGTAGGGTTTGGAGAGTTGGGGGAGAACAGAGGAGGGGTGACATGGATCAAGATGCCTTAAAGTACTTTTATACAATTGCTTAAAATAATAAACAAATATTTAAAAAGTGGGCATGCAAACATAACGTCAGCCAGAATTGTACCAACTACATTAAAAATTCAATGAAATAAAATCTTTTTTATTTTTTGGGTCTGGTCATGGGGCTTGAACTCTTGGCCTGGGCGCTGTCCCTCAGCTCTTCAGCTCAAGGCTAGCGCTCTACCACTTGAGCCACAGTGCCACTTCCGGCTTTTTTTTTCTTTTTGCTTATGTGGTGCTGAGGAATCGAACCCAGGACCTCATGCATGCAAGGCAAGCACTCTACCACTGAGCCACCTTCCCAGCCCTAAATAAAATAAAATCTTGAATATGCCAAATAGGAAACAGAGCTTATGCTGTCAGAGTTTATGCTTAAATTTGATTCTTGATTTGGAGATGTAGATCTATAGCTTCTCCTTTAGCTAGATTTTTTTAAAGTGACCAGTTCTGGAACCTCTCTCTCTTGCTGGAAATGAAATTAAACCATTCGGAGAGACCTGCCTCTCCTGGGACGGAGTCGGAGCAGCCAGAGGAAGAAGGCTCCCCACGCTGAAGTCCCCTTGTCTTGCCAAGGCCTCCTGAGCCCTCCCCTGCTCCCCTCTATGCATGGGAAAGGCGGAGCAAGAGGCACAGGTGCTCACCTTGCTTAAGCAGTTCTTGCATCTTGGAGCAAGAGCAGTCATTATAGACCACCACTTCAAACCCCAGGCTTTGGAAGCACTTGAAAAGGGCCTCAGCGTCTTTGTCTGTTCCATTTCGGACACCCATACCTGTGGAAATCAAGGAGGTCTTGGATTAGCAGCACTGCCTGCAGGTTCTCACCAGGCCAGGCACCGAGTCTAACCCAGAGAGCCCCTTCAATGTAAATGCTCTGAGTGTATGTCACCTTCGAGGGCACCAATGAAATGAGAAGCAAACTCATGGGAGGGGACTCAGCCTGTCCACAGAAGGTGAGCCTCCTCATGGTCACTAAGAACCCTTGATTCTAAGCCCCATGGCCAAAGTCCCTTATCAGCTAATATGCATGCTGGGGCCTTAGATGGAAGGTTCCTAGCTTCTTTCCATGCCTTTCCCTGGACACAGGACTATCACCCCAGAGGCCTTGTCTGCCACAGGACATGGACATAGCATTTCTCCAGTGAGTACTACACATGGATAGGAGGGGTTGGCCCAAGGCCCCCACCACATACCTGTCACTTTGTCGAAGTTCTTATTGTTTATTATGATACATTTCCCCACCTTCTCGAAGTTCATATCATATTGGAATGTAGGTACTCGGTCCCGGGGGGGCCTGAATGATCGTGAAGAGCCACTTTTCTTCTTCTTACTGGGGAAAGAGAAAGCCAGTCAGGGGCTGTGTTCAAAAGCTGGGCAGGAGTGGGTCTCCTGTGCCTAGGAAAAGCCATATCTGTGAAGAAAACACCTGAGTGGACAGATGGTTCTGTTTATCTGCCATGTGTCCATGGAATGAGTTCCCTGGTAAAGTTTGCTGGATGTCAGTGAAATGTAAGTTCGAATTACCATCCTGGAGTGATCAGCACTGGGACTGCCACCCAGGGCAAGAGTAGATCTACTGTGACATGCACTGTGCAAGATGGGCAGAATCCACCAAAACTGAGCTCACACACACCTGCGACAGAGCATTACCTGGTGTGGGTAATGCAAGCACGTGCCAAAAAGCAGAGCCACAACAGCTTCAAACAGGAAGTGACCCAGACAACATTTATGGGAGAATGGCTAAACTCTTGCATATTCATGTACTGAAATCTCACAACAATGAATAAACCATGACAATATGAAGCAATATGAATTTCACAAAAATAACACAGTTAGAGACCAATACACAAAAAGATACACACAGAGTTCAAAATACTAATACCTAATACCAGCTATTTCAGGGGCTGGAGAATGGGAAAACTGGGCTTTAAGACCAGCCCAGGAACAAAGTTCACAAGACCTCCAGCTCAACAAATACAAAGCTGAAAATGGCCAAGGGAAAATCGAAACTCAGCAGGTACTTGATAAATGTGGGCTCTTTTTTGTGGGGGGGAAGAGGAGGAAGGTAGTATTAGGATTTGAACTTAGGATCTTGTGCTTGTTAGACAGGCACTCTTCAATTGAGTCATGCCCCCAGCCCTTTTTCTTACTTTATTTTTTAAGTTGGGTCTGCCCAGTCTTGGACTACATTCCTACCATCTTTGCCTCGGGAGTAGCTGGCCCCCAAATCAAATTCTTTTTTTGGGGGGTGGGGGTGGGAGGTAGTACTGGGAGTTGAACTCAGGGTAAGCTCACCAGGTAAGTGTCCTTGAACCATGCCCTGGGTCTTCCTTGATTTTAATCCATAGAAGTGTCTCAGAATCTCTGAAAGGAAGTGATATTTCTCTTTCCTCTTCCCACTGTTGTTGTCTTGATTACAGACCAGCACTATATGTCTTTTCCATCTTGTCAAATTCCTATTTCAATATGACCTCCATTGACTGATTGATTGACTGACTGTACTGGGTTTTGAACTCAGGGCTTCATGATTGTTAGCCAGGCATTCCTCTTGATTCACACTTCCAGCCCCTTTTGCTCTGGTTAATTTTGAGATAGAGTCTTACTTTTTTTGTGGAGGCTAGCCTGGATCCTTCTATTTTTTTTGCTTCTTGCTATAGCTAGGATGACAGGTATATGATAGATATATGCAGGGGCATGCCATGGGGACTGTGGCTGTCACAGTGATGTAGGGGTAGGATGGCACCGGGGTACCCTTCTCGTGGAGTGCCTCCCATTTTGGGATGACGTATGTGTTTCTGTATGGACATGCCTCACAGACATTGCTACCTGTCAAGTCCTACTGACGCTAAACAAAGGTGATTATGGGGTCCAGCAGAGGGGAAAGGGTGAATATGATCAAAGGCATGCAGGAAAAATTCCTAAGGAAACCTGCTTAAAAATCGTAAAAAAAAAAAAAAAAAAAAAAAAAGCCGGGCGCTGGTGGCTCACGCCTGTAATCCTAGCTACTCAGGAGGCTAAGATCTGAGGATCATGGTTCAAAGCCAGTCCAGCAGGAAAGTCTGTGAGACTCTTATCTCCAATAAACTACTAGAAAACCAGAGGTGGCGCTGTGGCTCAAGCGGTAGGGCACTCGCCTTGAGCTGAAGAGCACAGGGACAGCGCCCAGGCCCAGAGTTCAAGCCCCATGACCCATCAAAAAAAAATATTGTAAAAAATATATATATGCTCTACAGCCTCTGAAAAGATAAAAATCAACTTTTATGTTCTGCAATAAAGACCAAGTAACAAACAAGCTATGGGGTTGGTTGGTTGGTTTTGTGCCAGTACTGGGGGGCTTTGAAATCATAGCTTGGACACGGTCCCTTAGATTTTTTTCACTCAAGGTTGGTTCTCTGCCACTTGGGCCCCCTGGCTTTTTGCTGGTTAACTAGAGCTAAGAGTATGAGACTTTCTTGCTCATGCTGGCTTTGATCGTGATCCTCAGATCTGAGGCTTCTGGGTAGCAAGGATTCCAGGTGTGAGCCACCAGCATCCCACAAAATAATGACTTTAAAAAAAACTGTAAATTAAATATGGAATACGTCATGATTTTGCATGTCATCTCTGCACAGGGGTCATGCTAATCTTCTCTGTATCACTCCAAACTTTAGTATATTGCTGCCGAAGTGAGACACAAGCCACGGACTTTTGAAAGTACAGTGATTACCGCCTCCTCAGAGATGTGCAGAAGAAAAGAAGAGTATCAAGGGTCTTATATAAGAACAAGCTTGGAGCTAAATCACATGACAATTCAAACCACACTGCTTCCATTAGAACTTGGAAAATGAATTCATTGTTTTTAATGTGAATTATGCTTTGTTAATTTGGTTTTAAAAAGAAACACAACTAGGGAATAATGCTACACACACTTGAAAGAGGGCACTGTCTGCAGTTATGAAAAGACCTGACACTGTATGTGAAATATGATTCTTTCATCTGGTAAACATCTCCAAAGGGCGGTAAGGGCAATTGCTTTGCCCTAAGCTTGCCCCTAACTGACCTTTCTTCTTTCAAAGTGAACTTGATATCTGCTTCCTCTTTGGGGGATTTGTGTCAGTCAATATTAATGGTTCCTTCTAACTGAAGTGGCTTTGTGTTAAACCTAAGCCTTCCCAGACCACGGGTATGTATTAGCAAGGGATCACCAATTCAATTCCAGTGCATTTACCTTGCCCAGAAGCCCAGAGGAGCTGGTTTGGGCTAGCAAAGGATCAGCCTCCAGCAGGCATATAACTGAAGGGACAAATGAAAGGCAAAATGACTAGAAAAGCAAGGAGGGGAGGAGGACCAAAACTTACTACATAGAGCTATTCTGTTTTGAGTGAGAATCCAGAAACTGAGTCTGCCACCTACTCTGTCCTGTTGTCCCTTTAGCATGTAAATTACGTTGTATCACCTGACCTAAATTACAGGCATGTCCATCTCTCGTTAGAAGATAAATTATGTTTAAATTAATAGTAACTAATTACCTTCTTTTACATGAGGTCTTGCTATCTTGCCCAAGCTGACCTTGACTGCTAGATTCAAGAAATCCTCTTGCCTCAGCCTCCCTGTAGCTGGGACTACAGGGCTGCATCACTATACCTGGCTAATGGGAAACTGTGAAGGCAGGATTTGGATTAGTTCCCTGCTGCTTCTCAGCTCAGAAGCTCACTCAGGCATACTTCGTGAATGAATAACGAGCACTTCAGCTGAGGAAATACAATAGGCATACACCCCAAGTAACCCCCAGTCTAACTGGACACACACTCTGCAGACCTGAGAGTTGCCAGGGAGCTTCAGGCTTCAAAGGAGGTGAAGGAGTAGCTGCCCAGGATCATACTTTTACCCTGTTGCAAGTATTAGAGTTACAGCCTCAGGCTTCAGAGTCACAAAGTGAGAAGGAAACTGACTTCTGGTCTTACATTAATGCCCTTTCTCCTTGCCTCTCTGTGGAGGCAATGAGGGAAGAGCAAGTGAGGGTACCATTTTCCTGGTGACAGGGCAGAGTACCAGGTGGTGGCACTGGATTGGCACCCCTCCACACGTCTCAGCCTCTCGGCCCCTGGACCGGCAGGTCAGACATGCTGTATTTCAGAAATCACAGCACACCAGTGCTTCCCCGGGTATCACCGCAGGTACAGGGTGGTCATGGGTCTAATTCATAACCCTAAACCCTGCACAGAGGGCCCAACCCTGATAGCAAACCCAGTTACACCAGTTACTTTTAATACCACCTCCAACAGAATCCTAGGGTGTGTCATTGTGGCTGATGTCACCGCTGAAGCCCCCTCCTCTGTGACACATTGCCTGGAGTCCCCTTCCTGCTGAAAGGATTTAGGAGGGTATAGGCTTTATACCCGGTTTCCAGCCACTGAAAAGAAGTCTCACTAAAAATCAGCTGTTGGAGCCCAGCGGAACTCTAGGTAATGAGCTGCTATTGGATGTAGAAAGGGGCCCAGGGGAGGGGGAAAGCTAATTAATTAGCTCACTGCAGCAAAATGGCAGCATTCCAAAGCTCTGACAAGATCCCAAGGGGTCCCCCAGAAGCCAGGTGGGACGGTAGGGGCTAAGAAGGGACTTAAGAAGCTTTCAAAGATCCAGCTTAGAAACTTCATCAGCTAACATCATCCCCAGAGACAAGATTTTGTAAAGGTGGCTGTCCCCACCCCAGGTCCATATGACCAACCTTTCTGTAGAAGATGCGGGAACATAGGACAAAGACCCCATGGGGCAGGGGAAAAGAAATGCACACTAAGCGTCTCTCGGGTCCAGAGTCTTTCAAATGGTACAGGCAGCTGAGTGCCAGTGGCTCAGGCCTGTAAGCCTAGCTACTCAGAAGGCTGTGATCTGAGGATTGTGACTCAAAGCTAGTTCAGGCAGAAATATCCATAAGACATCATCTCCAATTAACCAGCAAAAAGCCAGACGTGGAGGTGTGGCTCAAGTGGTAGAGTGCCAGCTTTGAGTGAAAAAGCCAAATGAGAGTGAAAGGCTGAGTTCAAGCCCCAATACAAGCACTAAAACAAAGAAATCAAACAGCACAAACAGTGGAGAAAGTATTTTTTTTTAATTCAGACCAGTCAGGTATGTGATTATTTTAAGTCCTGGGTTTTACAAAAGGGAGTTAACAGCCATTATCACACTCTCTAGGCTACCCTCTAGGCCAGGCCTGCCTCTCATTTCCTCTCCCTTTGTTAATTCTCTGCAGATAACTAATATTTATCTTGGCCTTTTTTTTTAACATCCCCCAAGACTTTCTCCAAGATTATTTTGCTTGAAAGAAACACAGGATTCCTGTTTTGGAGGCTG